GTGGGGGCTTCGGCTTTGTGCTTGGTTTTGTGCTGAAGGAGGTGCTTGGTCGGGAGGGGGAGGTGGAAGGGACGAGGGGACAGAAAGCCTCGGATCGTGGTCAGCGTTGCCTTTCTGTTAAGGGTTGGCTCCGTGTCCTCCTGGTCATCCCAGCAGGTTGTCCTCCCGTCCTGGGAGGTGCTGGGGCAGCCCAGGCGTCTCATAAACCCCACTGAGTTTCCTCATGGACAGGGACAAAATACCACCAGAGCGTTTTCCCCCTATAGCTCAGACACTCGACGCAAGGTTTCAAGGAGCAGGGACTCCCCGTGCCCCCCATGGACGGTCACCTGCAACCCAACGGAGGACAAAGAGCAGCGGAGGGGGGACGGTGTGAACCAAGTGCTAACCCCGAGCAAATCCACCCTGTCAGCACGCTCCGTGGGGTCGCTTTCCCTCCTTAACAAACAGCTCCTACGCTCTTGTTTCCATGCCAGGGTGGTTTTTCCCTTTGCTCAGCACTAGCTGGCTTTCCGGTACGGGATGCTGCTGGAGGATGAGGGAAAGCACGTGGGTTTTTTTTTTTTGGGGGGGGCCTGGAGATACAGCAGGGCTTTGTGTTCTGCTCTCCGTGCCTCCTTTGCTGCTCCTGTTGATTCCTGGCAACAGCAAATGTAAAAATAGATGCCGGGGCGCTTTCTGCCTTTCCTCCCAAAAACCTGCCTTTTGGCAGCCGTGCGGCGTGGCTCGCCGTTCCCCTTGACTCTCAGCGGAGGCGAGTGGGAGGAGAGAGGAGCCTTTGCCCAGGAAAGGGTTGGACTGAACCTGTCTGGAGGCAGTTGGGCTGTGCTGATGAAACACGGTGACCTAAATGAGCGAGGGGGGCTGCAGAGCCCTCCGCCGTACCTCAGCGCTCGCAAGCAGCGTTAACAGCAGCGAGGTGTGAGCTTGCAAACCACCAGAGCACTTCTCCCTTGCCAGGAGCCGCCCGAGAGCTCGCCGGGGCCTCCAGCTGCTTCCCCTTTCCAGGGCATCTGCAGGGAGTTCTCTGTTTGAGGTTTCCTCTCCCGTCCCTGTGCGGCTCGCTGCTTCCTTCCCCCTGCAGAGAGCCCCGGGGCCTGGGTGCCCGGCTGCGCCTTCCCTGCCGTGGAGGGCAGATCCTGGGGTGAGGGCAGATCCTGGGGTGAGGGCAGATCCTGGGGTGAGGGCAGGAGAAGCCCTTTGCCTTTGGGGGGCTGCGCATCCAGCACGGTGCAATGCTGCGACCAGGCGATCGATGCATGGAGGCGCTGGACCCGTGGGGCGTAAGAGGGGAGAATAGGAGGTTTTTAAGCAAATTTTAAGCAAAGTTAATCCCCTGACCCTGCAGTTCGTCTCTTCGAGCTGGCTCAAGCTGCATTCCCTGGATGTATCTCATCAGAGATGTCTCTGAGCAAGCTTGGCTCTCCGTGCGGCCAGGGCCGAGGTGTCTCAGCAGAAGCATCGCCTTGGGGTGGAGGTGGGCGGTAGCGGACGGGTGGGAAGGAGCAGTTCTCCACCGAGGAGAAGGGTGTTGACGTGGGACGAGCAGGCTGGGAAGCAGCGGGTTTTGTCCTCCGCTCCGTGTTCATTGGGAGACGCGTTTCCAGTTGCAAGGAGCAAGGGAAGGAGCGCCTCAGGCACCAAGCACGTCCCCTTAGCTAGGGGCGATCCTGCTCCCCATCACCACCAGCTCTGGCGCTGTGGCCAGTTAAACCCAATTTAATGGGGTTTTTTTTTACTAGCAAAGTCTGTGTCAGGCTGTGACCCCTCCAAACCTCGCTAAGAACAGCGCCCTGGGAGTAGGGGGCCAGAGACAAGTGGCTTGTCCTGGATGTCCTGTGGAGTGAGGAGCTGGACCCAAGCTGGTGGCACCTTCCTCAAGAGAGGCCTCCAAAACACCGCTGAGAAGTGGGTCCTTGCAGTCCCGAGTCCCGAGTGCTGGACAGGCTTGGCACAGCTTCCTCCATCTCCTTGTGCTCCTCAGTGCCGGCACCTCTTCCACAGCCTGATTAATATAACCCAGTTAAACTGGGAGCGATTGGTCTGAGCCGGAGGTGCAAAGCCCAGAGCTGCTGTTTCAGACCAGGAAAAGGGTTGGGATGGGCAGAAGCTGGTTTGTTTTTCCAGGCGTGTTGTCTGGTTCCATACAAGAGATGATGTCACCCTCCGAGACTCGGGCTTGGGTGGCCCCAATCCAGAACCCCCCCCCCAACCCAGGGCTTCCCCCCGAGGGCAGCCCGTGGAAGAAACGGGGGAAACCAAGGGGTGTGGGATGGGATTGATAGCGAAAAGATGCTGCAGGAATTTGTGTTTAGCTGGGCTGGGACTTGAAACCCGCCCCAATCCCGCTCGCCTGCTGCATCCCGGTGTTTGCACCTCCTGTTTCCGCTGGAACTGATTCATTAGCAAAAACCACCCAACATGGAACAACTTAATCCTCCCAAACACTCATCTTGTGCCATAAACTTCGAGCTCAGCCTAAAAATAGCTCTGTTCCCTGTTTGAGGTGTAGTCCCAACTGCTGATTAGGTCTTGGGAACCAAAAATAGTTCCTTAATCCAGCGCCAGCATAAGCTGAGGTTTTGCCTTGAATGGCTGCCTTTTGAAGCAGAGCAGGTTTTAAGGCTGGTTCTTTCAAAGGCCGCACTGCCGAGCACCCAAATTAGTTTTAATCGCCACGACATAATTAAGCGATGGGACGGGAGATGCTGAGAGAGCTCTTGCGGGCTGTTACATCTCATCGTCCTCAGCAGCTCCTGCCTTCCCTGAATCCACCCAGATTTTCTCTCTATTTTTTTTTTTTCCCATGGAATGACGTAAGATAGAAGAACTACTTGCAAGATTTGTTTTTTTTTTTTTTCCTCTTCTAAATGATTCAGCCCCCAACTCTCTCCTCTCCCAGCTGGCAGGCTGCTGCAGCCCTTCCCTCTTGAACTTCTTCCAGGTCTTGCATCAAACCGAACAGCGTAGCAGTATTTGACCTGCTGTGGCCACAGCCTGTTCCAAGCAGCCTTTTCCCCACTGCTCCTACGGGAAGCATCCGCCTGACCCTGTCCCTCCTGCATTTGGGTGGCACCTGGATTAAGTGGTGAAGGACCTGGGTCCTTCCAGCCATGCCCTCATTATTTATCCAGGCATCCCAGCAGAGAATTAGGGGGTTTCTGCCCCCTTACGGTGTAGGCTCCTCGGGCGTTCCAGCTCCTCCCGTCATCCCAGATGCGATAACTTCCCCAGTGGTAATTCAGAAACTTCTGGAGGATGTGATTTGGTGATTTCAGCGTGGTCACACCCGTCTCCATCCCTTTACATTTTCTTTTCAGCGCCTTCACTTTTCAAGTGGAAGTAAAATATGGCCAGGCTTTTTATTTTCTGAGAAATCATCGGGAAATTGTTAAGCCAGGTCTGGAAGTTTCTTCTGCCTCCCGTTGCTGCATGTTTCACCCGTGAAATATCTCACAGAGAAGCGGGGTTTGCCCTGAACCTCCCCGTTTCCTTTTGCATTTTAAGGGGAATTTTAATACTTTGATCCAGGAGGGATCAGAGCTGCTGGGGCAGTGGCCGTGCTGGAGACCCACTCATCCTGCTGCAGCCGCCCCAGGAAGCAGTGCCTGGAACTGGGGCAGATCGATGGGGCATCTCACAAGAGGAGAAGGGAGCAAAGGACCGCTGGGGCGGCAGCGGTTTGGGGGAAGAAACGGTTCCCTCCTGGCCCGTGTTTCATGCTGCCCCGTCTGAACGTGGTACTGGTGGTGAAATGGAGAACCAGAAGGTGCCTCTGGGCATCTCTTGCTTTGGTGTCCTCTCACCCGCCGTTCGGTCAAGCCGGTAGGAGGCAAGACCCCTCTCTTGTCACATACCGGGCCTTGCTCGGTGCCCTGCCAGTGCGCAGGCTGTTCCCTGTGGAAGGACTGGGCCCTAAATGGAGGTTGGGAGGTTTTTTTCCCTTGGGCAGTGGATGTTTTGGAGGCTTTTCCCATGCTGAGTCTGTCTCTGTGTGCGAAGCTACGGAGCGAAGTCTGGGGCAGGGCGACAGGGAGCATCCCCCAGTGACCCGCTGCAGTGTCAGCTGAAGCTTTCGCGCTGGTGGGTATGGCCAATAGCTCCTTCGGGAGCTCTCACCAGCCCCAGCAGTGTTGGTGACCAGCACAAGGGGTGTTCAAATAAACTCCTTTTCCCTCCTCAGCTCAGGCTTCTGGCTGCCTCAAATTTTACAGGCGTTTCAGCCGAATTGAGGGGTTTGGAGGAGGGGAAGGTGATGGGCGTATCGGTGTGCTGCATCCTCCACCATCACATCAGGTCATCACAGATCCCAAAACTGTAGAGCAGGCTGGAAACTGCCGTCGGCCAGCTGTGGGAATGCAGATATTCCCCAAAAATGCAGTAGCCTGGGCTGGGTTGGGTTGGAGAGGGTAGCTGCATGGCAACTCCCCTGCCCGTAAAGAGCTCCTGGGATGCAGCATCCTCTAAGTGCTCAAGGCAAGGACACTTCTAGGCAAACTTCAGCATCTTTACTTAGGGTGAGGCACGGAAGGTCTGGCATAAAGTTATTTTAATGCACGTTGTTGAGTGCCTTTGCCATTACGGTATTGTCTCCGACTTGAAAGGATTTGTTCTGAGTCACTGGCTTTTGAATATTTAAAACGCAAGCACAAAGCACCGTCTTTTTGTAAGCGGGCTCACAGCAACGTGTCCACTGACCGTACAAAAACTGGGCCACCAGTAACTTTCCCCTGAAAGGCACGGCGTCTCTGACGCCAGGGTGGGCGAGAAGGTGTTGGCCAGGTTGTTTGGTGGGAAGGACAGTGTTTAGTATGAGGACAGGGACGGAGACAGAGCTCAAACGCCTCCTTGGTGTTTGCATGCCTCTGACTCAGGTCTCAGGTGGCTTCTGGGCGCTTGTGCTCGCTCCCACCCAGCAGCATCCTCCCTGAGGTCTTCCTGGCTCGTGGCTCTTGGAAATGACGGTGCGGCCTTTCCTTTTCTTTCCTCTCTGGCTCCAGGTGGCACAAGCTACACTCCAAGGCTGGGAAGAAGGAGAAGGAGCGTGGTGAGATCCTGGTGAGCATCCAGTTCACACGCCACAACCTCACGGCCAGCATGTTTGACCTGTCCATGAAGGACAAGCCGCGGTCGCCCTTCGGCAAGCTGAAGGACAAGGTGAAAGGCAAGAAGAAATACGACTTGGAGTCGGCCTCTGCCATCATCCCCAGCAGCATGGGCGCCCTCGACATGGAGGATGACTACGACATCGGGGGCAAGAAGTCCAAAGTCAAGGGCTTCTTCTTGAAGAACAAGCTGCGCAAGTCGTCCCTGACGCAATCCAACACCTCCCTGGGATCCGACAGCACCATCTCTTCGGCCAGCCTGGGCTTGGCCGCAAACGTTCCCGAGGTAACCAAATCCCCGAGCAGACACAGCAGCCTGTCCACAGAGCGCTCTGGTAAGAGGCTAACGGTTTTAATCCCCTTCCCCCCCCCTTTTTTTCCCCCCTTCTTTTCTTTGTGGAGGCTTTCCTGCAAATCTGTTAGCTAATGGCTTACCTAAGAAGTGCCGTCCTGCGCAACCCCCCCCGAGACCTTCTGCGTGCTGGCAGCACCGGGCTTGCCTGAACGGGGGGAGACAGCTGAGATTTGGCTTTTCATTCCCAGCCTCGATGCTCTTGAGCCCACCACGAGCGACGGGGGTTCTTGAGGACCGTTTCTTCTCTGCCCCCTAAAAGCGAGTCGCTAACGCTGACTCGTAGCAGAGCACGGTGCTGCCGCGCTGCTGCCTGCCTGGCTAATGAGACGCCTCCGGCTCGGAGGCAAAGCCGAGGCAGTGACGGGTTCCTGGCGATTAAAGCAATCTGAGCTCTTGGCGCGCGGTGATTTGCGAACAAAAAAGGCCCTTGTAGTGAATTAATTCTTGCCGGCCCTTGGAAAACACAAAATATAGAATTAAATGGTTTAATTGGCTGGAGACGACAAATTCCCATGTTGGGTGGGAGTCCCTGGGTCCGTGTTGCTTCTCACCGTGCTGGTGAAGCCGCCCGCGTGATGCCGCTGGGTTTCTGCTGGGTGACGTTCCTGTGCGTGGCCAGAGAGCGAGCGGGGACACCGGTCTGGCCCCAGCACCCTCGCGTCGTGGTGAGGGAGACAGCATCTCCGGCTAGGAGGGGAGAGACCTAAAGTCCAGGCAGTCCTTCTCACCAGGCTTTCCACGGAACCCCAAAAATCTGCTGAGCGTTGGCAATAGCCACAGTGCCAGAGAGAAGCAGGCGCTGGGCGCTCCTCACGCCAGGCAGCAGATCTGGCCTGGCACAGCAGAGACCAGGGGCGCCTCGTCTTCGGTTCAGCGCAAACTCTTACATCACCCAGAAGCGTAAGCCCTTTAAGTAGCTTCTGGGGAGTTTCTCGCATTTATTATCGATCTCGGATCCTCTCAGACAAGGGGTTTGTCGTCTTACAGAGACTCCTGCGGATCCTGGAGTGGGAGGTGGTGTGCTTGGGGAGAATATCATGTAGAATAGCCCCGTACCCGTGACCTGTGCTTTGCATTTCTAGGAATTTAATTACAACCTGGTAGAGCCTGGGAGGGAGAAAGCCGGTGTGATTGCAGAGATCTCTTTGGTGTTTGCAAGTAGGAGGTAACGATGCTTGTTGTGCCTGCGCTGTTACCCAGACGGCCTCACCTCTGTTTTGTGTTTTATTTCCCCCCCAGTGAAAGACTACTTGCCGTCTCCAAAGCTGACCCACAAGAGAGCGTTCAGTGACGATGTCTCCCAAGTCAGCCCCGTCCTGGAGCCCAAAGCAATCCAAAGCCTGAAGCCAAAGAACGATCCCGTGTCCCGGTCTTCCCTCTGCATCAACGGGAGCCACGTTTACAGCGACGAGCCTGCGCCAAAGAGCCCCGTGTCTGTCCCGCAGAGCTCCGCGCCGCTGTCCGTGCCCGGTGTCCCCAGGCGGTCGGAGGAGGGCTTTGGCTTCACTCCCCTCCATCCCGACCCCCACGAGGTGCCTTGGGGGGTCAGTAACTTGGAGAGGACGCAGCAGAGAGATGAGCCCAGGTTCATCCCGTCTCCTCCAAGCTTAGCCTTGCAAGAAGAACTTAAGGTCTCCACGAAAGCCGTCACTCTCAGTAACCATCTGGGCAGAGCCAAGATGGAAGAAAACAGTCGCTTAGAGAACAAGCCGACTCAAGCTGCAACACCCATGGTCTTCTCCGCGGAGACAACGAAGGACAAACAACCTGAGGAACCGAGGAAGGAAGACAAGAAAGCGAAGGGCGGCCTCTTCCACCATGGGGGCAACAAGAGCGACGCGGGGAGCAAAGGCCAGGGGGAGAAAGTGGGACCCTCCCACGGCTCGTCCGTCCAGGCGACGGCAGCGGGAGAGGAGAGGAATAAAACCAGTGGCTGGTTCGGTTCAAAGGAGCCCAAAGAGTCCCCTCAGAAACCCAGGTCAGTGAAACGGGGGTGCGGACGTCCAGGCCATTAACTAGCTGCCCCAGCCTCCCGTCTTCGACGTCTGCGCTCTTAAATGCTCTCCAGCATCAGCAGGGGACTGGTCCCCATTGCTCAGACAAGATGATAGTGGGGGAAATGCTTCCTTGGTCTGAAACGTCTCAAAGGGAGGGTGATTTTTTCCTGGATCCTCCACTGGCTTCTGCCACAAACCAACTCCACTTGTCCTCCCAGGCTGTGTTTCCCGGTTGGAGAAGGGAGGGAGGGAGGGATCCCCTTCATGGAGAGGGAGACGTTTCCCTCTGCAGAGATAAGGCTCAGCGTGGTCATGCCAAGTGTTTCTGTGGCCTCGAAGTCCAGGATCGTTATCCTTTAATTAGCTAAAAAAGCTTCCCTGGCAGTCAGTGTGGGATGTGGGACATAGTGACGTGTAATCGCATTTTTTTTAATCTCCCATCCCCTCTATGTCGCTGGTCTGTCCTGGAGGTGCAGTACTTGGATAACTTGAGATATTATTAATGTTTCTGAAGTAACTAATCCCAACCCTGCTCTTTCCTCTTCCCATCCCGCCCCAGCCTTCCCTTCTCCCGATTATGAATCTCTAATTGTTCTCCCTTTGTGTGATGATTCATCCCTCTAAATCCTCAACCCTGTATTTGCGGCGCACACAACGTGGTGTTCGTGCTGTTTCTGTGCGGGCTTGATCGCGTTGGCCTGTCACCCCCGTCCGTCCCCGTAGCCCCCCGGCAGCTGAGCTGGGGGTCCAGAGGTTGACCAAGAGCCCAGTGCGGTGTTATCATTGCTCAGGGAGAGGGAGAAAAGAGAGGTAGAGAAAATAACTAGCGGTCAAGAGCTGGTTGAATCTAGAGGGTTGATTTATTATAGGGATTTTCTAATCTGGGCTGACTTTAACCTAATTTATTAAGCAGAAGGATTTTAATTCAGTCTAAGCCTTCTTTAATGAGGAGGGCACTCATGATTTATTCAGCCTAACCAGATTCCCACACGGGTTAAACTGCTTTTAAAGCGCCTCTCAGACATAAGTGAAAGGGCGAGCACATCGCTCAGCGTGGCTTCAGAGCTGGGGCAGCCCCCAAAGTCCTCCTCTCCTCACCCTGCAAGAAGATGTCGTGCTCGTCGTGGTCTTTAAGGCCAACGAGAGGCAAGAACATGCTGCCACCCGCCTTCCCGAGGACCGAAGGCCACGTGTCCTTGTGCTGGGGGGCACAAGCGGTCCCTCGAGGAGCCACAAGGGCTGGTAAGGCTCGGTCCTGCCCACTGCCAGCGCTCCCAGCTGCGGGGGCAGAGCTGGGGACACCGAGGCAGGCGGGGAGCTGCTCCCCTGAGTCACCAATACCCCGTCTCACAGGGCCCAGAGCTCCTTTCCCCGAAGCCTTTCGTTGGGGAGGTGGTGGGGAAGGGAAGGACCGGGCAGAACACGGGTTCCCTGTCCGGGGGCTGCTGTGGCTGCATTCCTACGTGCGGGTCTTTCATTTCCAGGAGACTTGAAAACCCTGGTAGTTATTTGGTGTCACATCCCGGTGCAAGGTTTGTTTCTGGGTGAGACTAAAGGACTCTGAATGCTGTGCTTGAGGAAGGACAGAATATTACCACTCAGGATTGTTCTTTTATTACTTTTTTTTCTTCACTTTGCGATCATAAACCTGCTGTTTAAGTCCTGGAATAGAAAAGGTAGAATAGAAAACCAACCCATAAAAAATCCTACCGTATTCAGGCAGCAACTCCACGACGGATGCGTGTGACGGATGGGCGATGCCCTCTGCAGCTCCCTCTGGAGCCTTTTCCTCAATAAAGGGGTGAGAAACCTGCGGGTTTCCTCCTGCTTGGCAGTTCTAGGGAGGCGGCAGACACGGGCCGTGCGTTACAACCCGGCGTGTGAGCCGTGCCTGCCCCGCTCCTCTGACGGACACGGCCGTCTTCAAGGCAGGGGTGTCCGATCCGGCTGTAAATCAGCTCCCGGGCGCCTGTAGCATCCAACCCGGCGGATAACCACCGTGAGGGCCGGTGCCCTGAAACACTCCTGGTTTCTGCCTTTTTTTTAACTGACAGCTGCTGGACCCGTTCCCAGCGTTATGCCTTTCCCTGAGGGTTTTTGCTCTGTGGGTTTTTTTTTTTAATCTACTTCAGTGCTCACAGTTTGACTTCAAGCTATGCTGAAGCTCTGAGTCGGTTTGCCTGTGGCATGCCGAGGACCCCGTCTGCAGACGGCTGTCTTGTACGGAGAAACTTGGCTGAGCCATGCAACAGCAGCTCCTCCAGTCGGGGTTTTCTCTCCCTAAAATAGGAATCGCTTTGAAGCCGCACGGGCTGGAGGGAGCAAATTCACAGGGGCCCCTTTTGGGGCGTTTACAAGGATCTGGATGGGCTTTAATTGCAGTTTGCAATTGGAAAATGGGAAGTCATGAGCTTAAACTGTAGCGAGGGAGATTGAAGGTAGACATTAGGAGAAGTCTCTAATGGAGAAGTCTCTAATGGAGGATGGTGAAGTGCTAGAGCTGCCTGGCTGGGAGGGGGAAGCCCAACATCTGGCACTTTGGGGACTGGGGTAGGTGAGCACCTTTGGGGAACGCCACAAGGAGGATTTGTCCCAGCGTATGGCCCAGGCTGGGCGGTAGGAGGTGGTGAGCGAGTCTCCTTTGATGCAAAAATGGCCTTTCTGTCATCACAGGGGGATGGGCTGTCTGTAGTCTGGCTTTCCTGGTTCCTCGTTTTCTCTGACCATTAGTTACAACGTCAGTACTTGTTCTAATTATACAGAACTCTGACTATTCTGGTTTTATTCTCCTCCCTGACACTGAACGACCTGCCACTGCTTCAAGTCAAAGCTGTTGAAGAGCATATTATGTCTTGGTGGTGTCAAGCTGAACATACGGTCTGGTGCCATCTGTACGGTGATAATCGAGTGCGTATGGTCTCTCACGCGTGCGGCGGGAGGCTTAGCAGCGCCTATCTGCGAGCGCTCTGCGGATGTCCATCTGCGCCTGGGGGACCTCTTCAGCTACCAGAGCAACTTCTCCAGCTGGAGATGCGTTAAGCTTTGCTTTGTAGAGAGAACCAGCCTCTGAGTCGAGTGGTTTGAAGTCTTTGACTTATCTGCAGGAAGGATTTTTACCCTCCCGCTCTGCTGGTGCTGGAAACTTCAGCTTTGCGGCTCCTATCAGCTGAGCCAGCGTCTTCTCACCTTTTTCCCCACCTTGGATGGGTCAAGTTTCACCGAGAGTTGAACATGGGGAGAAAGCATCAAAAGCAGCCACCTTTGCAAGGCCAAAACCCTCAACCTGTAATTAGTTAAAAGGTCTGTAATTAGAAAGATGCTTTACCAGTTAAGGTTTAAATTAGCCTGCAGCTAAGACAGGTTTGGCACAGCTTGGCTTTCCCCACTTGCTCTTGCGAAACCACACCCTTTCTAAAATAAAGAAGGCGCTGACTTTCGGCTGGTTTTAACTTCAGCTTTATGAAAAGGTTTTCTGTTCTGTTACGGGCGGTTTTTGCTGAGCCATCGGCAAGTGCGTGCGAGCTGGCGCTGCCCCGCGAGCTGCGAACCTGTCTGCCCTCTTACCCGGGGAGAGGGCTGGATGCTTCTGCCTTCAGCCCTCGTTTCTGTGTTTGTTCGCTGACTCTTGGCGGGGAAGCAGGTCCCAAAGGCTGTGCTTTTCGGCCCCGGCTTTGCTAATCCGTGGCGGCTACCGGGCTTTGATACGGGCTTGAATGGAAGCGGTAGGAAGATGGTGTTTGCTCTTTGGAGACCTGAATAAAAGACTGTTTGGGATTTGTTGTTTGGAAGGTTGTGTGGTCAAGGGTTGTGTGTAAGGAAGAAGCTCAGCAGGTTTATTTGAGGCAAGGCCTGGGGCTAAAACAATTGATTTAACTATTTTCAGGGTTTCCTACAATGTTATCAGAGCTCCACAGGTCCTGCTTCCTGCGGCGTGAATATGCGTAATAAAACAAGGCTGCATTTCACGCTTGGCAATAGGAAAAAAGAGAAATTGCACTCTCTGTTGTAACAATAATTGTGTTAGTGCCCTTTGCAGGTTACAGCCCCTTCCCTCTGTCGCTGCTTTCATGGGGGGAAAATGTAAAATCGCTCCCTACCTCGGTTGTCACTCCTTCCCATAGTCCGTACCCGTATATCCAGCAGGAAGGTCAAATATTGGCTGGAGTTCCTCGCTCTTCATCACGTACTCCTACAAAGTCCATTTCCTAAATGCTGGAAATGGGAAGGAGGTTTTTGAAGGGTTAGAGCGCGGTCCTCCGTCGGGCTGGCAGCGGGGAGCGGCGCGGGGTGAGCTTGTCGGTGGGATTGACCGCCCCCTCCAAGGCGCCGTGAACGGGGACTGTCAGAGCAGAACCTGGGAGGCTGCAGAGCGTGATGAAGAGGAGCACCGCGTCATGAGGACCACGGAGTCACGGGTGACGGTGATGCTGCGGATGAGGCCATCGCGGGAGCTGTCGGGGTCACATCTCCGCGCAGGTCTTGTGTCCCCGCGAGCTGCAAAGCGGCGCATCTCATCGGAGCAGTCACAGGGTGACAATCATCAGGGATGAATCTGGGCATTTTCCCCCTGGCACGAGGGGCGTGGGGAGCCTGCAAGGGTGAAAAATGGCTCTTAACGTGCCTCTGCCTTCCTTTTGCCTGCTCAGGCTGCATTTCCCGGGGATGGACATGAAGCAGGATGGTGAATTGGATCCTAAGCTGGCACCAGCTCAGCCCTAGTGAGGCAAATCTGCTTTGTAGCTGTCCAGGTAGAGCACAGCCCCGCATCCACCCCTAAAAGTGGGTATTTGGGTTAGCAGTTGGCATCTACCTGGGCTCCTACTGCCCAGATCCACTCTCTGCTATTTTTTTTTAATTATTATTATTCCTGTGGTTTTGGGGGCAGATCTCTTGTCTGTTTTAATTGAGATGGTGGGCAGGTGAGGACCAAGGGGAAAGCAAAGTGGTTATGCACAGATAGCTAAACCCCTTGCTCTCACCTCCAAAATTGCTATATCAAAGCAGTATTTGCATATATCCTCTGACTCCTTCCCACCCTGTAGAAAAATGTCCCAGGCTGCTGCACCCATCTCCTCCCAACCCGTTTCTGCACAAATCCTGCCGTGCCAGCCTCGCTTCTGCCCGTGGGAGGAAATTCCTGATCCCTGCCAGGCTTTGAAGCCGCCGCCGTGGCCTCCGGCACCCCAGTCCTGCTGGTTTTCCACCCACCCCAGTTGCCTACGAGGAAATGGTGCAGAAACCAGCTTGTGAGGGGTCGAGTCAGGGCGCTCCCCTGGATCCTGCCCTCCTAGGGGGGATTTTCCACTTGAGCTTCAGCGCAGCTCTTCGCCTCGGCACGTTATGGCTGGATTTGAGCCCTGCCCTCCCCAAACTCCTGCTTTTTCAGCGCCTGTGCTGTTTTCTTTATCTTCACGGTGCAGAGTTACCCACCCTCTTGCAGATGGGGACGGTGCTCTGTGACTGCGGAGCTGGGGCGGCTGCCTTCAGCCTGAAATTCCGCCTGCGATCTGTAGGGTTTTTAAAAAAAACCCCCTGCAGTGAACAAGCTGTTTCAAATAGACTTTCCATCAGGGGGTTGCTCAGCAATATTTTCATTTCTTTCTTTTTTTTTTTTCCCTTCTTTTTTTTCCTTGCTGAGAGGCTAAAACGCGCCTGTGAAGTGCTGCCAAACAAATAAATGAGGGCAGAAAGGTACCCGCTATTTATTTTGGCTGGCAGAGCTGTGTGCTGGGGTATGGGAGGAGGAGGGTGAGTCAGCGTTTCAATGCAGCAAAGATCTTCAGTCAGGCTGCTGCAAGCGGAGGTTTCCCTCTAGAGGAACACGCCGTCCTCGGCTCCTTGTGGCGCTGAGCGCTTCCAGCATCCTTCATCAGAGAGGGGATGCGGGGCTTTTCGTGGGGTGGGATGGGCAGTGGAAAGGAAACTTCAGGGGTTCTGGAGGAGGAAAACTGGAATCCAACAAAAAAAAAGATGGATTGAAGTTCTGTCTTGGTATCTTTATCTTGGCTTGGGCTGCCCGTGTTAGGGGAGGATGGTAGGGGGCTGCTACCTGGCAGGGGAGAGATTTGCGTCCTCCTGCTGCCGAAGCCAGAAGCTGCATCGCTTCTGGTTTCCTTCCCTCCAAGCAAAGATTCATGTTCACCCACCTCGTTTCCTGGGCAAAGCACAACCTTTATTGTGCTGCATCCTGACGCTGAGGTGTTGTAGGTCATGACGGGCACGGGGCAGTCAGGGGCTTGCTGGAAGCACCGTCCCGATTCCTGGTGGCCTGGACTGCGCAGGCAGCAGCTCGGGGCTGGGACCAGCTTGCTGTTGTGGCCGAGAGCTGCTCTTTCTCAGCAGGTCCAGCACCCTGTGAGCACCATCATGACGTGGGGAAGGAAGAAAGGGTCATCTTGGGTGGGTTTGAAGAGAACTCAAAGCTGTTCCTCCACCTGTGCAATTTGGGGCACTGCCCATCGTGTCTGCCTGGGTGAGGAGCTGCTCTGGCATCAGCCATCCCCTGGGGAAGGATCTTCAACCACTCAGTCTTCTGGCAGCTGCGAAGGTCGTTAGCAGCAAGTGCTTTTTAGGAGCCTGAAGCTGATTAATGCTCTGTAGCCATTTAGTGCTGGAGCCCGGCAGAGCAGGCTGGATCAGGCCTCGGTTGCTCTTACTCAGCACTAAATGCTGTTTGAGCTGAATCACGAAGGAGGCGTCTTAATCTGGACCAAAACATTAAAGCAAGTGCCATCAAGAAGGGCCTTGCCACCTTCCCTTTTCAGCTGGAAAGGAAAATTTGCTGTGTTTTGCCCTGGTCCACCACAGATAAAACCCATTTGTGGATCTTGTGAACTCACCCAGCGGGACCTTGGGTCATGGACAGCTGGAGAGCTTAAATTTGAGGGCGATTAGGGGAAAAAAAAGTCAGTTTGCACCAAGTGGCAGCGAACAGGAGCCTGTGTTTGGGTGAGGAGCACGGAGCCACCCAGCAGCTGCAGGCGTTTGTCTGCACCTTCTGCATTCAGAAAACCAGAATTGAGGGACTTTCGAGCCGTAGCCTCGAGACCTTTGGGGTGGCAAACACCAAACAGCGGTGACAGAGAGTTGGAGAGAGATGGGCTGCCCTGTCTTCTGGCACAGACGCTGTCGTGCTGTGCTGCCGCTGTCTCATGGATGGTCTGGAACCACGAGGATGCCCTGTGGATGGTCTGGAGTGGGTCATGTGCTGGAGGCAGGGTTCAGGTGCAGAGCAACCACATGCTGATCCCCAGGTCACAGCGTTCCTGGAGAGGTCGGCTTCCAAGCGGAGAGCGGCTGTTGGTCTCTCTGGGGTGGTTTGTGCCTAAATATCCATCACCTTCTCCTTGAGCTTCTCCTGGAGGTGTTCCATGCTCCCTGAGAGTTCAAAGCACCCAGGACAGAGCTGGGCTGCTCAGAGTTGTCTTCTACAGAGGTGCGTGCCAGGCTGCCCCAGTGGGGTTTTCCACTCTCCTACACACCGGTGGTCCGAGCGTGGAGAGGATGCGGAGCGGGGACGGGCACCTGCGCCACGGCCACCACTGCTGCGTAGTGACAGCAGGAGAGGGCACCCACGAGCTGTCTCTGCCCGCAGCACCGAGTGAGCTGCAGGTTTGAATGGAAATGAAGGTTTCGAGGCTTTTTTTTTTTTTTTTTTTTTGGGGCCTGAATTACTAGTTGTGCTAAATAGTATCTGGCATAGGGTCTGATGGGTGCTGGAGCTGAGCCTGCTGTGCTCAGCCGCTTGTTGTGTGTGTTACTTACCTAAAAACCGGGATGGGGGGGACTTTGATGGCATTGACTGCATGAATAGGCACCCTTCCAAGGGAGCTGCTCAGAGGATGATGTGCGAGGGGGGCTGCCAGGAGTGGGGAGAAGCGGGTCCTACCACACTGCTCCTGCCCGTCGGTGCATCACTCATGCTCCGAGGCACCCTGCTGGCACGTAACCCCGCCTGCTTTAAAAGCAACCGATGCTGACTGCGCCTTCGCACGCCGTTAACTTTTGCCTCAAGATGGCATTTTTGTGCTTTAAAATGCGTCTAAGGCTTTTTGTGACATCCATAACAACAGATGAAAAGAATTGTCCAAGCAACTTTGCTGTTTGCCAGCGCGTTGACCGTGAGCTTCCAGTGTCACCTGTGATCCCTACCAGCAGCTCTGGTGAGGCAGGGGAATACCGTGACGTAGCCCCAGGGCTGGACATACCTCGTGCGTGTTGTCAAAGCAATTACTTTATTCATTCCTCGTTAGAGTTTGATGTGCCCAGTACGGGCTGATCAACGTCCATATTTCTCCCAAACCAAGACAGGGGTCTCCTTGAAGCTCGGCTGTCATGGCTGACAAGAAGGAAGTATTCCCCCTGGCTCGCTTACGGGGCAGCGCAGCCGTGTGTGCCGGTGCCGGGTACCCCCATCCTGGGGACGGGGTTGCTCCTGACAGGGGTGAGTCAAGGGGACAGGATCTCAGGAGGAGGGAGCGCGGCAGTTGGGGCACCGGTTGGGGCACGGGGTGTCCACACAGCCCCCTTCATGATGTGAAAACCTCCAAGACGGCCAGCCCCAGCCTGGTGAGGCTTCCTCAGGGGTGGTGATGCTCATTGCTGGAGGGGTTCCCAAAGGAAGATCAATGAAATCCCAAAGAAAGGCCAGTGTAGTCCCTCTTGAAAAGGCAGCAAGGAACTGACTCTGGGTGAGGTGCAGGAGGAGGCGGACAGTCTGGATTCGAGATGTGCTGAATCCCTTCCTCCTCCTTGGGGTCCCCCGTGGGGGTTCAGGTATCTGGGGACCTCAGGCCAGAAGTGACGTGACGAAGGGTGGACGGAGAAACTGGGCAGAGTCAGAAGTGGAGCCAGGGCCGCATCCTGGCCACGTGCTCCCTCCTGCTCCGCTCCTGCTCCTTGGCCGCCTGCGGGCACGTTACCCTCCCTCCTGCGCAAGAGGGACGCGTCTGCTGTTGTCCTGGTACGTTGCCAAACAAGTAACGAGGCACTGGGGTAAACTGGGAAACACTCACTTCTGTGTGCTCTTACTGGCTCGAGTAATCCTGATCCAAGAGCCCAGCCCGGCCCCTCGTGCACAGCCTGCCCTCGGTACGCGCCAGCGTCGGCACGAAAAAAATTAGCCGAGTCCTTGGGCCGCAGGAGGTGGGAAAAACCCCTTGGGCTTCTGAGCCTTAGGGCTTGCTGAGGCAGAAAGGGGAGGTTTGGAGGACTGTTCTAGAAGAAGGGCTGCCCTTTCCTTTTTGTTGTGCATGCCCTTTCCACGCCTTGACTCCATAATCATTGCTGTGCCTAACAAGAGAGACGAGTATGTATTTGATCATTGCATTGCTTTGAACTGAAGCGTTTGGAGTGTGTGTGGTGTTATGCTTACAGCACTGTCACAGCATTAACCAGGAGGACTGTTTTGTCTTCCCTCCACAGCCTGGAAGTGTCTCCTCAGGTAGAAACCAGCTCAGATGCTCCTTCTCATTTTCCTCCCTGCTCCCCTGCCCAGTTTCCTCCTGCCGCTGTAGCCCATCTCGCTCGCATGCCAAGCGCTAACCCCTCTCCCGCTATCGGAGACAGTCAGTCCGGATGCTTGTCCCCTACCAACCCATTCCTCAACTCCCTGCAGAGCAATCCCTTCTTTGAGGACCTCCTCGCTGACCAGGTACTAAATTCTCCTTCACCTACTCGCTTTTTCTCTAGTTTCCCGTCTGGGCCGCATGCTTCAACAGAGGTCGCTGGGAACTTATATTCCTCTGAGGATTGCAGTCCCTCTACCTCCCTAAGACATAAAGACCCAGAGAGGGAGTCTCCAGCCAAAAGCATTGGTGTCCCCGTTCCAGAAACTACTCCCCCATCACAAGGAGACCTTCCTCCTCCGGATGAGAAACCCGCCGTCCCTCCTCCCCTCTCAGAGTGGGACGAGACCTTCGATGCTTTTGCGACCAGCAGGCTCAAACCAGAACTGAAGAAGGAAAACTTCTTCGCTTCGGTGGCGGCGGAGGGCATGGCTTTCATCGACGATCCCGACGCAGCCAGCCCAACGGAAAGAGCAGCCGAGCCGGCTCGCGAGAAGGGGACAAAGGTATTTGAAAAGGCAGATGCACAAATGGGCAGTGAAATGCCTGCGACTCTACGATCTTGGACAAATTTCTCCGGTTTAGACGTGGGGGCAAACTTGGTGAGCACAACCCAAGAAGCGACCGTGATAGAGGATGTGCTGAGCCCTGTGTCTGCAGGGTCGATGGGAAGGAGGAGAAAAAGCAGCACGCCTACGGTTTGGACAGCCGCGTTTGCATCGGGAAATCCAGGGGAAAAAGAGGGTTCAACACCACTAACTGCTGAAAATAGTGCTAGGGAGGAAGGGGACAGTAATGAGGAGGAACCCTCTGGTGCAGGGACAAACGGATGGATGACCATAGCCACCGAAACAGCTCCTGACCTGTCAGAGAGCACCCAAAGCGTGGCTGAGCAGGAACACATGGGTCAGGAGAGCGCCTTTGGCCCACGGCCAGCCTTCCTCAGCGAAGGCACCTTCGAAGCGAAGAGCGGATCTCGTGCTGCCGCTTGCGTATTGCCCAGAAGCACCTTCGCCCCCGAGCTCGCCTCCGAAACGCTGCCAGGCGGCAACGTGGCGGCCGTGCCCCCGCGGGTGCTCGCGGATGTGGCAGCACGACGGTTCCCCTTGGCCCCCGAGCCAGGGACGGAGGCCCAGGGTGCTGGTAGCGAGGAGGAAGTGTTCGACATACGGACTTCAGTCTACCGGCTCCAGGCTAGCATGCGGCTCGAGGCCAGCGAAAGCCGGGTGAAGCTCAGCTCCGACATTCGCGAGAGGCACATCGTCCTCTCTCCGTGGACGGGTACCCAAGTTTTTTTTCGGGCTCACCCGCGCCCCCCCCCAAACCTCCGAGGTGGTTTGCAGCCGCGGGCGGCGGAGGCGACAGCGAGGAGGAGGATGTTTGCAACCCGCAGGCGAAGCAGCGAGGCGGCGAGGAAGACGCAGAGGGCCCGAAAGCAGATGTGGAGCTGCCAAGGAGCCATCTGAGCAGCGAGCCCTCTGTCCCGGCATCTCCCAGCCCGCCTGTTCTGGGAGTGGATGTAGCTGAAGCCGGGAGCGAGTTCCCGGTCTCCGAGGATGCCGAATCTGCCGCTGCGGACTCAGCAGCTGATTTGGAGGCAAGAGCTAGTGAGCTGGCAAAAGGGGACACCTCTTTGGGGGAAGAACGGTCAGAGGTGAATGAAACTGATGCGGCTGAGCAGTTCGAGACTTGCCCATCGAAGTTCTCCCTAGATGGATTAGACCAGTCGGGCACTAAGGGGAGCTGGAGCCAGCCAGATTTATCTCCTCTGATGGGGGCTGCAGGTGGTGCCAAGTGGGAGATGGCCTCCGAACAGGAGTCGTTCCCTGAGGAGCTCAGTATATCGGGACTAAACCCACCTTCCAAGCTAGACCTGGGCCAGACGGAAATCTTCTGGACGGCTCTGGAAGAGCAGGAGGCGGCCGGTCACCCCACGGGTCTCGGCCTGGCGACACAACCCCAAAGGTTAGCGTGTGGGGAGAGCCCACCCCAGCCGGAGCCGGCGCGGGGCGATGATGAGGGACAGCACAGGCTGG